CGTCTGAGTTCTGTGTTCTGAGTTCTGTGTTCTAAGCTCTGTCTTCTAAGGTCTGTCTTCTGAGGTCTGCCTCCTGTTGTCTTGTTGCATCTGTATTTATACCAGTTGATTCCAATCCTATCAATCTCTATTCCAAAGGTTAGGGCGTTTCTTATCTCCAGTCCAGGGAGTAAAGATTACGTAGCTTAAGCATGATTGTTTGTAGTTAAAGTGATTAACTACCCGTCTGGCACTTAGTTAAGGAGTTTTATCCCCTCCCTGACTTCAGGGAAAAATCCCTACGTGGGGAAACAACCTTTCTCGGAGAGGTGACCTTGGTTAAAACACATAGTGCCAAGAAGGTGAGCAAATATATTAAGAACAGTATGCCATATATGCCAGGTCCCTTGAAACAGCAAGGATGGACCGGCTCCCGGCAGAGAAGTCAATGCCTGGCTTCAAAGCTTCAAAGGACAGGCTGACTCTCTAGTTAGGGGCTAATGCACCTGGTGATTTTGAGATGAAACCAATGTTCATTTCCCACTCCAAGAATCCTAGGGCCCTTAAGAATTATGCTAAATCTTCTCTGTCTGTCCTCTAAAAATAAAACAACAAAGCCTGGATGATAGCACATCTGCTTACAATATGGTTCACTGAATATTTTAAGCTCACTGTTGAGACAAACTGCTTAGGAAAAAAGATTCCTATCAAAATAGTAGTGTTCACTGACAATTTACCTGGTCATCTAAGAGCTCTTATGGGATGTACAAGGTTATTAATGCTGTCTTCATGCCTGCTAACACAACACCCATTCTGCAGTCCATGGGTCAAAGAGTAATTCTGAATTTAAAGTTTTTTAAGAAATACATTTTGTGAAGCCATAGCTGCCATAGACAGTGATTCCTGTGGTGGATCTGGGCAAGGTAAATTGAAAACCTTCTGACAAAGATTCACCATTTTAGATGAATTTTAGATGTCATCGAGAACACCTATGATTCATAAGAAGAGATCAAAATATCATCATTAACAGGAGTCTGGAAGAAGTTGATTCCAACCCTCATAAATGACTTTGAGGGGTTTAAGACTTCAGTGGAGAAAGTAACTGCAGATGTCAAGGAAATAGCAAGAGAACTAGAATTAGAAGTGGAGCTTGAAGATGTGGCTGAATTGCTGCAATCTCATCATAAAACTTTAATAGATGAGGAGCTGCTTCTTTTAGATGAGCAAGCAAAGTGGTTTGTTGAGATGGAATCTACTTCTGGAGAAGATATTGTGAAGACCATTGAAACGATAACATAGGATTTAAAATATTTCATAAACTTAGTTGATAAAGCAGCAACAGAGTTTGGGAGGATTGACTCCAAATTTTAAACAAGTTCTATTGTGGGTAAAATGCTACCAACAAGACTGCATGCTATAAAGAAATTGTTTGTGAAAGAAAAGTGTCTATCAATGCATCAAACTTCACTGTAGTCTTATTTTAAGAAAATACCACAGCCACCTCAACCTTCAGCAACCACCACCTGACCAGATCAGTCAGCAGCCATTGATAATGAGGCAAGACCCTCCACCAGTAAAACGATCCCAACTCACTGAAGACTCAGATAGTGGTTAGCATTTTGCTTTAACAGAAAAGTATTTTTTAAATTATAATATATACATTTTTTAGACATAATATGTTGCACATGTAATAGACTACAGTATAAACTGGGAAACCAAGAAATTTACAGTATATGCAATTGGAAATCAAAAAATTCATGTGACTCACTTAAGATATTCACTTTACAGCAGTGCTCTGGAAGTGAACTT